CCCCAAAACCCCAAAACCCCAAAACCCCAAAACCCCATTTAAAATTATTAAATTCAAAATGTCAATATACGGGCCTATAAAGAAAAAGGCAAAGAAGAAACAGAGTCATGGGAAAGACCCTGAGAGAGCTAATAACTCGGATAAGAACATGCTTGTGACGATCAGAGTCCGTCCGCTCACCCAGCAGGAGATCTCCAACAAAGTCCTTCACATTGTCAATGTTGATGACAAACTTCTTATAGTGAGGGATAAGGCTGAGATAAAGTATGAACAGGAAGGGATAAAGCCAGATGTCTTACACAGGTCAAGAGAGCAGCGTTATTATTTTGATAAAATCTTTAAAGATTCCTCACAGAGTGAGGTCTATGAGAACACTTGTAAGCAACTTATTGATCCAGTCACCAAGGGGTTCAATGCTTGTGTATTTGCATATGGAACTACAGGGTCTGGAAAGACTTATACTATGATTGGAACTAAAGAGAATCCTGGAAATAGCGTTCTTATTATTGACGACATGTTCGATACTATTAGTAAAGATGAGGAGTTCCAATATGAAATAAAAATTTCTTACGTAGAGATTTACAATGAGATCATTCGGGATCTCTTGGTCGTCAAAAGTAAAGATACCTATCTTGACTTGAGAGATGACCCTATTAAGGGAGTCCAGATTGCAGGTGTTAAGGAGTTTAAAGTAACTAATTCTACCGAAGTCATGAAATTATTGACTGAAGGTAATCGAAGAAGAACGACTGAAGCAACAAACGCTAATCAAACATCGTCTAGATCTCATGCTATTTTCCAGATTCATGTTCACAAAAAGGAAAAGACAGCAGATACTGAGAAGGAAATTTTAGCAGGGAAGCTATCTTTGATAGACCTTGCTGGAAGCGAGAGAGGAACAGTAACTGAAAATACAGGCATCAGGCTAAGAGAAGGAGCAAAAATTAATACCTCCCTTCTAGCTCTTGCTAATTGTATAAATGCACTTGGAGACAAGACCAAGAAAGGCTTTTATGTGTCATACAGAGATTCCAAACTCACAAGAATGTTGAAAGACTCTCTAGGTGGTAACTGTAAAACAGTGATGATTGCTACTATCTCTCCTGGCCACAATCAATTTGAGGAGACTATCAACACCCTGAAATATGCAAACAGGGCTAAGAATATTAAAATTAGAGCTCAAGCAAATAAGAAGATGGTTTATATGCACATCTCTGCATATAAGAACATCATTTCTGACCTTAAGGACGAAATTATCCAACTAAAGTCCAAGATCAGGAACGATGAAGGAGCTACAGCAATAGATCAGATCAACGAACTAGAGAAGGAAGACGCGTTGGAAGAGTTCAAGGAAGAAATAGACTTCAAGCCTAAAGTGAATAACCTCATCGAGGGAGAAGACGAGGAGGAAAGTTTTAAGTGAGAATGAAAGCAAAGATATAATGATGAAATTGAGAAGGAAACTATTAAGAAAGAGATTTCAAGAGTCTCAGAAGACATTCTACAACTTGAACAGTCCCTTATTGAGCTTGATGAGCAGAATACCATGAATGCGATTGAGATTAGTAAGAGAGAAGCCAAAATATTGCTTCTTCAGAACCAGGTTGAAGAGAATGAAAATAATGAAGATGATATTGATATTGAGGAACTGAAAAAGCATATTGAGGAACATCAAGAGCAAATAGAGATTTTGAGTGAAAGTACTAAGCAGAATCTTATTAAAAGACAATCTCTGAAAGAGCAATGGGTTGAAGGGTATAATACAATAATGAAAATCCGTAGTAGCATTCATGAAAGGATACAAAGTGACGATGCTAAGGAGTATCTCCTTTTAGTTATTAAGTGACAATTTTTAGAAAGTCAGAATATTCAGTTGCTACTCAATCTTCAGCTTCAAGCTAAAACGATTTCAAAATATGATAAATATTTCACAAATCTATCTCAGAATGGGATAATGCCTATCGAATCTTATGACGCAATGGATGATATGCTAGAAGAAGATGAAGAAGAGGAAGATTACGATGACTTCAATTCAGATGAAGAAGAAAAGACAATGTCTATCGCTGATCCAGTCCCTACTACAGTAAAAACCCCTGCTTCTGACTCCAAAGAAGCATCAAACACCACTAAATCAAAAAGCTCCAAATCCAAAATCCCCTCTAGCAACCCTTACCTCAACTCAAAATCATCATTCCCAGGTCAAAAATTCAGCGTGAGACGAAACCCATATCTCGTAAAACAGAGTAAGAAAAAGTAAATTCCATAATTTTTCAAAAAAAACTCCTTTCCGAGGGGTTTTGGGGTTTTGGGGTTTTGGGGTTTTGGGG